TGAGTTTGGTGAAGCAAGACGCAGTGAGGGTGAAGGGGGGTCCGGGAGGTGAGGGAGGAGGAGGGTCGGGAGGTGAGGGAGGAGGAGGGTCGGGAGGTGAGGGAGGAGGAGGGTCGGGAGGTGAGGGAGGAGGAGGGTCAGGAGGTGAGGGAGTTCTTTTCTGTAAACAAAACATGACGCAGTCTTGTTATTTCTGATTTTAAATATTTCAGAATAGGCTTTTAAAAATGGAATAAGACACCGTACACTGTTTTCTCAATTTTTCGTTTATATCAAATTCTGAATAAAAATGTCGATTGAAGTAAACTTTTTTCCCCACCACAGACCTTTGAATACTAATGATTTTTTTCCGCTTTGTTGACCTTACATATTTTCTCATCTTCTCTGAGCCTTGGATAAAATTAAATGCCTAATCCCTGCCTGTTCCTCTCTGTTGGCTCAGCAACAGCCCTTGATGGATTTAAATTCCTTGGCATCGTCACCATTTCCACGATACACGTGACAGTTCAATGTGCTGAGATTTCTTTCTTCTGTAAAAGTTAGAAACGGGGTATAAAGGGCCAGAGCTGGGCTTGCACTGAAGCAGGAGCCCTTACCTGCTCGGACAGGGCTGGTCTGGCTTGGCTGCAGCTTGAAGTCCACTTAAGGGGAACTTTCCTGGTGTCACTGGGAGGGAAACACGAGGAACAGACTGAAGTGCTTATGCCAGAGCCTGGCATGTCAGGACGATCCAAAGGCTAGCTGCCGCCGCCACAGCACCTGCTCATCCTCTCCACTCCCCTTGCAGGACTTCCTCAAGTACTCCAAGAAAGCCAGCCTGGACACGTCGGAACTGGAGGTACTTGCCCCCGGGCTGTCCCCACGTGCCTCCCAAGCAGCCCGTCCCTGGCGGGGTGGGTCTCACCACCACCTGGGCCCCCTGCCCACCCACCGGAGGGCTGGAGGGGGGTGGACCTGGACTCGGAGGTGTGGGCGGGGGTTGGCACTGCAGCTTTTCCCTGGAAGTTGACTCTGCTGTGTCCCCGCCCCCAGAGAGCCGTGGAGGTCATGTGCATCGTGCCGAAGCGGTGCAACGACATGATGAACGTCGGGCGGCTGCAGGGATTCGACGTAATGCGCTGTCCTTCCTTAACCTGCCCCTCTGGCTTCCATCCCCTCCCGGGCCGGCTTGTTTACCGCATGTGTGGGAGCTGGTCCTGTCTGCTTGGTTTTCTGTCTTCTCTCACTGTACT